AAAAAGCAAAAAGAGGCCCCTTATCAATGACGGGTTTCACAGTTTCACCGGCTTTGGGGGTCAAGTTTTTTTCTAAGAAAAATTTATGGAGTCCAATTTTGAGTGCGGGGAGATCTCCAGGGGTGAGGGAAAGGGTGTCTCTAAGTCTTCTTGTGGGTGCAAGGAGAGTATAGGCCATTGGTGTCAAATATGCGATTAAGGCACAAGGAAATGTAGAGGAGGTTTCGACCAATTTCGGTGCGCATCTCGGGTGCCCAATGTGCCGTCGATCTGGTGCCCCAATTTTTCAGATTTCCCAAAATAAAAGTAATAGAACTTGCCTTTCAGGCGGAAATCTTCCAACTGAAATACTAGGGGCTCCTGTTGTGTACGCTAAAAGCCATTCTTACTGGGAAAATTTTGGTCAACCGTCAGTGAAATCTTGATTTTTGCAGGAAGGGCTTCCCCATGTCATGTCACCCCTGTGGTTAAAGTGGGGGGGGGGGGTTCACAATTGAATTTTAAATCAATTTTTAAGGATACAAATCCATAAAAATTGTGTGATGGACAGAAATTTAAAAAACCACTAAATCTGAAAAAGTCAGAAAGAAAAATATGAAATGTTGCCCATAAAACCCTTAAAAATGGCTATAGAGTCCAATTGTGAACCCCCCCCCCCCTCATGCTCAATTAGAATGCAAAAAAATGGAGCTGAAGTGAAAGTAATTGCAAAACATTGATAATCAGTAAGGAAAGAATTTCCTTGTCACATGTATATATGGTGTTCAAATTGGCAGGAAACTTTGAACAGGTATTTGGCATCTGTAGTCTCACTTGTTCCAGCCCATGAATTTAGGTGAGTGTCTTCCTCAATTCCAAGTGGCATTTGATGATATGAAAGTGTTACATGTTGATGTTCTTTGATCACAAGCACTTTGAATCAGACAGGTACCTGCAGGGCCATCTCTACTCATACCAGAGATGGGCCACTGTACTATAGTACACTAAACATCCCACTAATTTTAGCATAGCAGCCCTCAAAACAGCGTGCCAACACTGTAATGTAAGCACACTGTTAGTCCCACTATTATGTGTTACACTAAGTTACAGCAATTTTAGCTACAAAAATGGCCAGAAAATCGATAAAATGTGCTTTAGCGCAGCTTAATGGGCCCCTGCTTTATGGCCTGCAAATTTAGCATTCGCACAGTCATGGCAGATTTCTGCTGCGCTACTATAAATGTTAGCAGAATTCCACTGCTCTACAATAAATGTTAGGGGAATTCCGCTATGTTACACTGCACCAATGCTATGGGTAGCATAACTGGGCCATCATTGCAAAACTGGGCCACTACATTTTTTGGCCAAAAGTGGTAACATAGCAGTTTTTTTGGCATTCCAAATCTGTAGTGTAGCAAAAGTATTTGGTTTTCACTACCTACGCTGCCTACGGGGCTATGGCGGCTACGGGCAATGCTGCTACAGTCATAGCCAGCGTAAGGACTTTAGGCTGCATGCGTAGCGTTAGCATGGACATGGCGGAATTCCACTACACTACACTAAAGTTTAGTGGAATCCCACTACGTTGCACTGCACTAACTGCTATGGTTAGCCTAGCGGCCCACTGTTGATTTTTGCTCATACTGTAGGTCTAAACTTTTGTCTTGATCTGTGATATATGGTGGAACAAATCACATCAAAGAAAAAGCATAGCCATTACATCACATACATTCAAAAATGGCAACTATGACAACACCTACTCGGACTCCCCATCCTCATACTATTCCCACAGAAAAAAACACAATGTCTGGGTCTTGTTTTTCCACCAAACCCTTGTTAAATCTCTCCCTGAAACCATATTACTTTGACCATTGAAGAAGAATTTTCCTTTGATTTTGCTATCCCAGATTCACTGGAGTTTCTGTCTTGTTTGGACTCATTTGCTAACCCCTTTGGGTTCAACAACAACAGCCTTAGGGAGACCATGAGGGCAATGGAACCTCCCACTGTTGAAATGCCTCCTTACTCCGCTTTTGAGAGCATTGTTCCTTAATCCTTCAGGCCAGCGGGAAGCGTATTCTTGCCTATAAGAAAGGTACAGATCCACTGGCAATCTCATTATTGTAGAGACAGACAAAATGAAGAACTCGGAAAGCTCCAGTCAACCACTGGCCTCATACTGTAAGTCTGAAATTTTGTCTTTATCTGTGACATATGACTGATCCAATCCTGTGGAAAAATATCATAGCCTATCCATTTCCAACCCATCAAAATGGCAACTCTGGCAGTGTCCCACTGCCAACCCATCAAAACGGCAACTCTGACAGTGCCCCACTGCCGGTTCATTCTCACACAGACCCACGTCTCTCCCTCAACTATCAGTCTGGTAGGGATCTCTCCACATTTTCACCACACACATTTCGGGAGATTAATCAAACTAAACCTTTGCGTTGGGCCTTCGAACAATTTGAATTGCCAGTGGTTCCTGTTGCCGGCCCCAGCAGCCTGCAACCTTACTCTGCACCGCCCCTAAGAGGAAATGGGAATTTCAACTTTTCGGTACCGTCGGTGCTTCCCAATGGATGGTATCCCGATCAAGCAACCACTCAAAAATTCTTAGGGTCTGGTTGGTTATACATTCTAATTTAGTTTATGGAAGATGAGGATGGATGCCTCTCCCCTCATCTTCACCTCCCAGCTTTCCGGAGATTACTCGAACTAAACCTTCCCGGTGGGATCTCTTCCAATCAGATTTTCCAGCGGTTCCCGTTGCCGGCCCAAGTAGCCAACCTTACTCTGCCCCACCCCCAAGAGCAAACTCCAATACCAACTTTTCGGTCCCAACGGCGATTACCGATGGCAGGCAGCCAGATCAATCACTCTCCCATCGCTCGTCACGATCAGGTTAGTTATCCCTTTTACTTGAATTTATGAAAGATGAGGACGCTTTAACAAATCATATTAGCCTAGAAGAAGGATTACAGCTGACTATAATTCTCTATTCAGTCAAACTCAAAACAAAAAAAGGTTCCAAAAAGGTGGCTGCGAAGGTATATAGACCTGAGAAGGGCAACTACCTGTCGAATAGGAGGGGAAACGTTAGCCGTCTCGCTCAAGTTGGCAAAGAACCTTGTAGGTTTACTGTTCAATCCATTTTTTTTTCTAAAAAGAGAATTCATCTGTATTCCTCTTGATTAATAATCTTTTTTCAAATTTCCAGATGTGTGTGATGTGTGCGGTAAGATCTACCAGCGCAGTGGTGAATTGCAAAAGCACAACGCCCCGCCAGCAAAGCCACGGGCCAAGAAGCCAAAGGTTTCTGACGAAAAATGTATGTAACTCCATCCTCAACTCGTTCCCATGTTTGTTTTGCCTTTTTTTTAACTTTTTTTTTCTAATGATCATTTCGATGTTTTAAACTATCCAACTTGAAGATCCTTGCAAGTATGCACATGAAGGGTGCAAACATTCGTACAAGAGCTTGAAGGATTGGCACTACTACAAGCACCTGAAACATGTGCATGGCGAGGTGGTAATTGTGTCGGAACCAGTGAGACGGGAAATGGTGTCCACCTTTCCCGAAAGTGAAGATGAAGATGATTGTGAAGAGCACAATCCGGTTCCCGGCCCCTCACGGGAACCAAGCTCATAATTTTCTCAAACTTCCTTTCTTCACTTCAAGATGTCATTTTCTTCACTGCATTCCACTGCAATTTCCGTCGACACTCCATATCTCCCTCTTAACTATCAGAATAGTAATTTGTAGGAAAAATTAATATTCCCGGTTGGCTTTCGATCGATCAGAAATGTCAGCGGTTGCTGTCGCGGGCCCCGGTAGCCAATCATACTTTTCCCCGCCCCTAGGACTCAGGAGCAAGCTCTAATTTCAACTTTTCGGTCCCGATAGTGATTCCCGATGACTGGCAGCTCGATAAATCGCTGACTGACAGATTATGATCAGGATCACGTTATTCATGCCGGTATTTTTAGTTTATGAAAGATGTGGATGGCTCAACAAATCAAATGAAGGTGGAAGAAGCATGAAAGCTAAATCTCATGTTTTTTTTTCGTCCAAAACATCTCTAAGCAAAAGGGAAAAAAGAGAGTATACGAGTCCTGTAACGAGGATTACCAATCGGATAGAAAGTTCAACATTAAACGACACGACAAACCGAAGCAAAATCCTGATCATGAATAACAACTTGGTCTGAATTCCATGATTACTGAAAGGAATATGGATGCGAAAAATCGTACAAGCGCTCTGATGATTTGGCAAACCATAAGAGGGAAAAGCATGGAGCGCCGCCATCAAAGCCACGGGCAAAGAAGCAAAAGGTATCTGATGGAATATGTAGGTAACGGGTTTTACTTTTTTTGCTGATCGCCACTGTGATGTTTCCTGCGTCTGAGACCCCTGCAAGTACGCTAACCAAGGTTGCAAAAACACTTACAAGAGCCTGAAAGACTGGGGGTACTACAACCACCTGAAGAAAAAACATGGGGAGATTGTCATACTAACCGAACCTGTTAGAAGGGAAATGATTTCTACTTCCTCAGAAGAACACCATACGGCTCTCGGTACTTCACGGGAACAACCGAGCTCGTAAACCTCTCCTCAAATTCTTTCGCGAGTGGATGAAGCATAACAAGAAGATTTTTGGTGACCTTCCAGAAAGAGAACGGTCCAAGATTAATTACGAAAACCACAAGGCGAATCCGGGAGAATGAGAATTTTGACATCCTGGAAACCGTATGAGGGGAATCAAATCGACTAGAGTCGGAAGTTCTGCTATGCCTTTCAGACATCTTGAAAGTCAACAGATGAATAAGAGCATGAGTACTGCCGCTATTTAACGCTTCTGTTTGGGATCTCACCCGCAGCGAGTCAAAATTGCACACATGAATGATGCATGGCAATACAGCTGCAGAATCATGATAAATGTAATGTTTCGATGAGGCAGCTGAGAAAGAATAACACAGATGGAGGATGGGCAAAGTCATAGTTCGTCAAAGGGGAAATGTAACGGCGATAGTCCAATGTACCAGACTGAAGGTGATGGAAGCAAGACATGGAAGAGGAAGTACGATCGATCGATGACAGGATGGTTGGGGTGCGATTATATAAAGAAAACGATACGGATTCCGGAGCAAGAAAAGGAAGGAGGGAAATAGGCGCCGAAGATCAACAATAGGTGAAGAGGAATTGAGGAAGAGATGAGGAGGACGAAAGAGAAACATACAAAAGGAGAAACAAATGAAAGGAAACAAAAAAAGGAAGGAATGGAAACAAAGGAAAGGTAAAGGAGGTTCAGCAAAAGACAAGCACCCATGGGCTGAAAGGAAAGGAACGAAAAGCAAAGCAAAGGAAGGGGAAAATTGAATGGAAGATACGAGAGAAAATCCGCGTATTCCTCCCTCACACGGTGACCCTATTCACTTGATGCGGTTATTGCAGGTACATAACCCAAAACCCACATCAGAAATAGGGGTTGTGCTTCAAGTGTGACGAAAATGTACCGATAATCGTTATCTTACTGAATTATTTACTTTCCTGATCGAATTCTGCTCGATCGATTATTGTTATGTGGTCAAGATTCAATCTTGTATGAGGAGATTTGAGATCTGCATTTCTTTTCTTTCATTTCGTTTGCATTTATACGTTCTCTCTGTTACCTCGCCTTGTCGTTCTCTCTTCCTTATCGCGATATCTCTGTTCTTTATTTTAGCTTTACAAAAAATTACTCAAAATATAATAAGACTATTGCAAAACAAACACCTTATAAGTTTTCATATCGTTCGAAAAGAAGACTTATCTTTATCTATTATCTCTTGGCTTTAGACTAGTTTACCTCTTGGTAAACTTGATAGTCGCTAGCGTTTACAGTTATTGGTAGAGCCTCACAGAAAAGCGGACACAATTCTGCAACTCTCCAGGTAATTGTCGTCCAGGAGAGACGCGCCGCAGCCTTCCTATCCTGACAAGTTTGGGCATGGAACAGGAAAGAGTTTTCCTCCAATACTTCCCTCTGACCAGAATTAGAGGTTATTTACAAGACAGCTAAATTAAAATTCAGGGTTCCTGGTATTGTAAGTATATCAGAGGAGCATGAAAAGAAGACCTCACCATTCTTGGGTCTCATTATCCTCATAAAATACAACCAAATCTAGTTTGGGGATACAGCAAAGCAATGTAGCTTAATTAGGCTGAAATCTGCCCTTTTCCATAATGATTTTCAAACTAGTGTAGCTCTTTCTGTAGCTTCAAGATTGCTGAGTGGTCTAGCTAGTTAAATATAATAAATTTCTCATCAAATTCTGGGGTGCACATTCCTTGTTGAATCTGTATTTTTTTATGTTATTCTTAGTCATAATCTAGGCTGTATTTTATAAATTCTTCATTTTGCTGGTACACCACGGGTGCACGGAGACGTTCTCAAGCCGTCTGGATTGAATGGCTTGACACCCCCTCACCAATTGAGTCAAAAACGACCTGGAGGCGTCTTGACGTTTTCGCCTGGAGGTCGACTTGGAGGCGACTCGCTAAGCGCCCCGGACGTTTTCAAGTCGAACTGAAAACCAGTGTGTTCTAAGGTTCATGAAATTGAACCTTGGAATGGTCTTCGAGTCGTCCTCAGAACCAAATCAGAGCCAATTTGGTTCCGAAGACGACTGGAGAACCCAAATGGTTCTTGAGAACGACTCAAGAACCATTGAGTGCACCCGTGGTGTAGCAACTTCTGGAACTTATGTGATGTGGGTAAATTACAATGACAGCGCAAATATATATACATAATTTTTTGTATGGATACATGGTGCATGAAGGGAAAAGCTCATAGATTCAACTAGCTTTCAATGCTACATAAGCTGCATGTGATGTGTGAAACAAGTTTCCAGTATTCTAAAGAATGAATTTTCAATAAAAATGGAAAGCTTTTCAAGTTTAAAATCAATTAATATGGGAGAATCAGATGAAATCAGGGTCTGAAAACTTGAAATCATTTATACAAACTCCCAGTAAATTTCTATCTTAGCACACTCCTCTCATTCCAGAGGGACAGGTAACCCGGCGTGCCGGAGGCACCTCGCAAAGTGAGCCTCTGAAAGGGGGGCTTGCCAGAAAAGTGGAAACTTGGGCTGGTGAGCTGCTTGAATGGTGTGGCTTTTTGACCACTTGTGGGTGGATTGCCTGATTTCTCCCAAACGAGTAGGCGGAGAGACCCATGATGAGGATTGTTTGATGTGCACAGATCTTGGCTTTTACTCAGCCTCCTTTCATGGATCAATCTCTCCAACAGATTGTTCATCTTTTGCTATCTAGCAAGCGACTTGGTTCTTTTGTAGTCTGTATGATGCTACCACATACAGGGAGAATCACTGAAGAGCCCAAAAGTCAAAGATGAAATAACCTAAATGCCTCCCTTCAAACCACCATGAATCCCTTGGTGAAGGCCTGACTGCTCCCATGTTGCATGATAGGGAGGGCAATATTGACACCTGTTTGGCGGTACAACACGAGTTGTAATTCCTTGGGCAAGCAGGCCAAAACATCATGGCAATATTCTACCACCAAAAGTTCAAAATCTCACGGCTGAAATCTCCGACATCCCTGGCAAGTGTGAGCCTGGGTCTCAATAGTGACAGCAGGACACAAGGTTTTGGGGGGCACTTCTAAATGTATTTCTCAAGATAAAGGAAATACAAGTAAAAGTAGAAGAGAGGGAAAGAAGAGAAGGAAAAGAATAGAATAATCTTTTTGTTCTTTGTTTATTTTATGAAGATGATTAAATTATGGCAGTCTTACTGTCCCTCTTGGATAGCTGCAGACAGTCTTACTTTCCTTAGTAGGATGGCTGTTATAAGCGGAGCTAACTCTGACGCCTCCAAATCAACAGAACTGAAATGGGTTATTGACACTGATTAATCAGGTCAACCGCAATTTTTTAGATCAAAGATCAAGGCTCTTTAAAGGGAAAACTATGTAGTTTTCAGTTATACTACCAAACAGGAGAAGTAGAGATAATAAAAGCTGGAGCTTGCTTTCTTTGATCAGGGATTTGGTTTGAAGGGGAGTGAAGAGAAACTGAGAGAGACAGAGAAGAGAAACAAGCAGAAAGATGCTAGCTTAACTTATGAGAAGAGACTTACTAATGATACCAATGACACTGAGTAGTGGGAAAGGTAGGAAAAGTGAGGTCCTTCTGGTTGATAAGTGTCTGCTTGATCTGGGTCTGGTTGTTGGTGTTCTGTGTTGGTCTGGAGTCTGAAGATCCTGAAAATGCAAACTCAGTGTCTACTGAGAAAATTTTCAGAGTTGGATTACATAATCACAACATGTACATGTGGTAGAGAGTTGGAATTCAAACTTGGTTGATATTTCACAAGGTACAATGAAATATTAAAAAGTCTGTGAATGAGAAGAGTAGTGCAAAAGTGTGTAGTGGTGACTGAGGTTAAAATTAAATGAGGAATTCATTTCTGAAGTCAGAATGTAATAAAAGATTAAGATGAAAAAGTTCCAGTAGGAACTTGAGTGAAAAGGAGGACTTAAGCAGTCTTTTGGCCAGCTTGGCTGGCTCTAAGGCTGACAGCAAGCCCCTCCTTTGGAGGCTTGCTTCGCAAGGGGCGCTTACGCCTGCCAGGCATCGTGGCCCAACAAATTGAGGGGCTTTTTTAAGCTAGAGTAAAGCTGAATTAAGAGAATGTTATCAGTTTCACATGGAAAATTGATCCCATAATTAAGCTTTTAACATGCATTAGCATCAATCTCATGGTTAAAGATAGTCAAAATGGCAAGAATTCTTCTCAGGATTTGGCCACATTTTTAATTTAATTTTACTTTGATGACTCAAGAAATGGCCCCACTACAGTGGGAAAATCATGGCAAAGAATTCTCAGTGATGTTCCAAAAAACCTCATGAGTAGAATTATTTTGCTATTTGCAACTGTTTTAATTCCATCACTTTTTTCCACTGTTTATGTAAATGGATTGACTTATATGTAAGAACCCACTGATTCAATCAAGGACACCTGCTCAATTAAGTGTCAAAAAGGCATGCATTATCAGGGGGTATCAATAACCAAATCCACCATTATTTAATTGACTGGTTTGGAAAAATCTACTTTTTTTTAACATGTTGGTTCTTCCAACGGTGGGCCAGTTACGCTAACCGTAGTGTTAGTGCAGCGTAGTGTTAGCTTTTTAAGCTACGCTACACAAAAGTTACTGTTAGCAAAAAAATTTGGCCCACTAACACTACAGGATTTCTGAAAAAACAAAAAAAAACTTTAGCGTAGAGCTGACTAAAAAAAACAGCAACTAACACTAACCAAATCCCTTGTTAGTGTAATTTTAGCGTGGTTAGTGGGATAAAAAGTTACACTAACTGCTAGTGTAACTTTTTGATAAGTTACACCAACTGTTAGCGTAGTGATCCCCTCAGTTACACTAACTGTTAGCGTAACTGATCAAAAATTTACACTAACTGTTAGCATAACTGATTACTGAGTTACACTAACAGTTAGCGTAACTGATTACGCTCCTCCAATTGAAAAAAGTAGGTGGTATCACTAGGGGTGAGAGTTTGTTTGAGAATCTGGTTTCGAAGCTCCTGTTTTTTTTGGCTTGGCACCGTTTCTTTGCTGCTTTCATACTGGCATTATTATTACTATCAAGAGATAAATTAGTCCCCAGGGTTTGAATCACCCCAAGATCCATTTATTCCATCATTTAGTAGCCAGCTGCAGGAAAGGGAAACAGGAAGAGTAAGAAGAAGCAAAAAATTAGATCAGCAACCTGCGGAAGCTTAACACAAATTTGAAATCATACCGCTTTTTTGG